TATATATATATATATATATATGAATAATACATCAATATCTGAGGATGTTTTCTCAGTTTGTTTGCAGAAGTCTGCTTCCTGCTCACCTGGTTGTCATTGCACGAGTGTGAGATGTTCACCGCTGGGAGGGATGTACAGCCAAGGCGCTGGCCTCTCTGCGAGGAACCTCAAAGAGTCTGATCACCGCCTTCTCCATCTCATTTTAGGCGAATCAAAGTGTGAAAAGTCTCTCCTGAAGCAAGATCTCCATCATCAGGTTTGGGTCAAGAATATTTACGAAGGGGGCTGTGTGTCATATTACCTGTAATCTCCAGGAGGATGAACTGCTGTATTTCTTACTTCTCTATGCTCCCAGAAGGGAGGGAGTGAGGGGAGAGGAAAAAAAAGGCCAAAATTATCTTGCATTGCACCTTTTTTCCGCAACACCTCAACGTGGCAAATCAAAGCCTTGAAACCGTTCCGTGTCGCTGTGCCCAAGGTCACCGCCAGAAATGAGAAATCTCTGTGTACTGTACAGTCCACCCCTATACAAACATGGCATGCAGCCTCTGAAGTCTGACTCTGCTTTAAAGAAGTCCAAGTTTGTTTAATAGTACATAATGCAATAAGTCGTTGCACCCAGGCAGGAGTTCAGAGGGGGGAACGCTTGAATTAGGTTGGGGGCAAATAACTGGATGGGGTTGGGGTTTTTTTTCTTCTTTTTTTTGCAGGTGAGAGGAGTGAACTGAATTTCCGGCCTTATAATTTTGAAGAAAATTGTTAAAGCAACAATATTCCTCTCACATTTTTATTTATTTCTGCAAGTCGACATAAATATATTTAGGAATATATTTGTTTAATCTCAGTAAAATCTTTTAGTTCTTTCCTCAGCTTCGTAGTTGACAGGAGAACTTTTGCAAATTCCTTTAAATGTTTTATGATTTAAGTTTTTGTGAAAATTCTTAAACATAATTTTCTTAATAATCATTTTCACTGTCATCTTTATTTTGAGTCTCAAAATGTAAATGTCGGCTAAAAACAAACAAATTTCATGTTTTACTACATTTTTCTCAGCTACTGACGGGAACATAAATCTGAATGAAGTTAAATTTATTTAGGTTTCGTTTTTTGTTCTGACACCAAATTAAACTTGAAATGTATGAATATTTGTAACCAGATCGACTTACATTCATTCATTTCATTCAAGATAAATCTAATTTTAGTTCCATAATTGTAGCCAACTACACTGTTTTAAATTTAGGGAATTCTCTTATTTTATAAATTGTAAAACCTAAAATATTTTTCTTACTTTGTCAGTGAAGCCCACTGAAATATTTTACATTTTATGTTTGTGATAAAACAAAAAGGCATCTCTCTTAGGCTACACATTGTCAGTGGGAAGAAAAAGAGAAAACGTAAAAAATGAAAATTACGTTTATTCTTTTTACAAATAGGTTCAGACAGATGGAAATAAAATGTCTACAAAAACAAACATTTCTCATTAGATTGTAAATTTTAAATTCCATTATGTATTTAACAAACATTTAAACATTTAAATTATCATTTTTTTCTCAGACTCATTTTAACATTTATCTGTAAATGCTGTTTAAGACATACGTTGAAACTTGCTGAGTTTCTAAAAGACTGACAAAAACATCTGTTTCACCGGAGCCAGATGTAAAACAGAAGAACATGTTTCTCTTTCTGACTCTAAAGCTCCCACTGCTGTCTAAAGAACCTCACTACAATGA